ATCAGCATGCACCACCACCCAGTGTAGGCCAGTTCTAAAGTCCCGTGATATTGCCCCCGCCACCATTATAAATAGAAGTGGGCTCAAGACACCCCTGATGGACTCCTACTTTTACAGTACAGTACTTCAAGTTCCTCATTGATTCTCACAAAGGTTTTAGAACCCTCACATAATGCCATAGCCACTCTAACAAGACACTCCTTGATGCCTTCTTTATAACTTCACATGGTACCTTGTCAATAACTATTGCCTCTGTAGTCCACCTAGCATAAACCCAAGCTACATTTTGTTTGTCTACTTTTATCAATTTCTCAAATCACTCTTTCTACACCTTCCATTAGCCTGACCTAGCATCTTCAGGCCCCCGTAGGTCCCACATTCAACATCTTTACCTTAGTATTCACAATCATTCTCTTTCTCCAGTAGTCTTAAATGGCACATTCCATCTTGGTTGCATAAGTCAATTCAGTCACCACTGACGCACCTACTTCCTGCTATGTTTTCAGTATTTCTGCAACTATCTTATGAGTTTCCAGCTGTCTTTCCATTCATTTTTATAATATTGCTCTCTGCCAGGCTGCCCATTTGCTTTTAATCCTTGGGCATGGTCTCTGCAATGGTTCTACTACCCCTAGGCTGTCACTACCATTCGTACTCTTCATTCAGTAATCGATCATAGTACTTACAAGTATTTTCTCCAGGAATCCTTTATTTCTTCGTTAACAACAACCACGTTACCATGGTGATAGTCCACACACACTGTTCAACAAAATTCTACCCATTATTTACCTAGCTATCCTGAAAACATCTCTTGCATCTGCTCTCTTCAACATGTGTTTTTAAGAAGAAACCAAGCATTTTCCATGAAAAGAATTAAAACTAACTAAAATAAACCATTTTTCATCTAAAACGAGTGTTTTCCGTGAAAAGATGTAAAACTAACTACATGAAAAGAAGTAAAACTACACTATTTTTGAGCAGAAAACAAGCTAATATGTGAAAAGAAATAAAACTGACAATACGTCATATGATGTGAACCCTGTAAACATGGGGTTAAATTTCACTAATAACTTGACAACTACCAACTGTAAGAACCTAAATTTCTATTGTCAAAATACCTTACAGATATACAGTACTATGAATTATTCTTCCAGTTCAATTAAGGGCCCCAGATACTCATTGAATTTAGTACTTAAGTAACACCCACAAAATTGGGGAGGTTGTAAATTTTGGACTGAATAATTATGCTAAAATGTCTATCTTGTGTGTGTGTGTGTGTGTTTTTCTTCCAAATGACAACACACCGAATTTCAGGTAAACTGAAGATGATGTGGTGTGTCAAGCAAAGCAAGATTTCTCCTGGAATGAGCCACCGGTCATTGATTGTACAGGTAGGCCCGCAAATTAGTTATATTTGGTCTCCCACCATTGCCGAATTTTCAAAGGGCAAGGATTTGTAGAATAAGCATTAAAAACAGGAAAATTTGCTTATCATTAGCGCTACTGATATTCATTAGCCAAAAAACTGCTAATCCTTAGTTAAAAAAAATAATTAAATCTTTGTTTTAAAGTTACACTCCAATGCCAAATTTATTGAACAGTTCAACATTTATTCCAATCTATATAAACTGTAGTTCAGCTAAATGATTTAGTGAACACATGGTTGGCCTAATTTGAAGTTTCAAAATGCATATAAAAAATTGCTGCCAAGATAAACAATAAAATTGATACATAGCATACTTCATAAAATACTACAGCACATAGTTCATGTACAAAATATAGCGCCTTCCACACTCAAACCATCCTCTGGGTGACATGACAGTTCAGCCAGGCAGACACCCAACTGACTCGAGAGATGTATGGCTGCTGCTGCATTGCAGTGTGTGTCTACCATGACATCTTATCAGGGGAGGGAACACAACTGTTATAGCCCACTGCCTCCACATATTTTAGTTTTGTACTATACAGTATTTTCATTTCTAAGCCACATTTACAGTGGAATAAACATTATAGTAATAATTTTTTCCACATATCCATGCACTTTCATTTGTTTAAATTTCAAGACTCTCCTTTCTCAAATGAGCACGGACTAGCAATAAACACTAATTAAGGAAAGCTGAAAAGAAATCGGATTTATGGAAAAACATGCTTCCGATACATGAATTTGCGAGATCAGTCTGCATTTTAAACATTTCAAGGTATTGTTGAAACACAACCAAATAAATATGTTGATGTTTATCCATACACTGATGCTGTTAGTCATCTTACATAAAAGTATGATCCAAAATTTCCCAGACTGGCTTCATAAAACCTCTTAGCAGATATCGAATTCGAATCATCAGCAGTTACTCACCTTGGATATAAGTCGTTTACTGCGCCGATTTAGCGGGAATCTGCGGCGCCAACCAGCCATAGTGTAGCTTTTTTAAAGTGTGTACCAACCCATCTGCTAAGTCGAGCCAGTTGCCACTCAACCCTCAACAGGGAAGGAAGTATTGAGCAATGCTGTGCCATCATATTAGGAAAAAATGACGCAGAACCCCGTGAAATGATCAAGGAAGCCTACAAAAATGAAGCAATGTCCAGTGCTCAAGTTTTTAGGTGGCACAAGAGCTCCAAAGAAGGGTACACCACCTTTGAAAATAAGAATCGTTCTGTACGGCCTTCGACCGAGATAAATGATATGTCCAGAAAAATGACCAGCTTGTTCATGAAGATCGTAGGGTAACCATCCACAAGATTGCCGAGCAATTGGACCTCTCATATGTAAAGTTAACCAGATTCCGATTGACAACCAGCAATTAGTTGCTTCACCCGGACAACTCGCCTGCACACACTGCCCTCTCCAAACGATTTTCTGGCGAAGCACGGCATCCCAGTGGTCCCCCACCCTCCATACACTGAAGGACAGAATGGAGATGGAGGAAAATTTGCAGAAGGTGCTCTCCAACCCCATCAAAGAGGACTACCAGATCTGCTTCCAGAAGTGGGAGGAGCAGATTCAGCACTGCAACAAGGCCTCTGGAGAATATTTTGAGGGCGACTGAAGTTTCACTGTACAGTAGAAGTCCAAAAATCCGGACTGCTTGGGGATTGGGTCGGTCCGGAAATTCGGATTTTCCGGATTCTCAGGCAGTACTTTTAAAATTCAAATTTCAGGAGGAATAAAGAACAGATGAACAGGTACATTTTGATAGTTTATTCATTTGCAAATATAGCATGCTTCATTTATCTAAACGAGCAGTTTTAAAGATAAAGCTGTGAATTCTAAAATTTTATTCTTTGCCTTTTTTATATCATAAATTGTAGACTTTCCAATGTCATGTTTCCATTAGAACAGTATTGCTCACACCACGTTCTAGTTTCTTAATTATTTCAAGTTTGTCACTCAATTTCAACGTGTTCTTTTTCTTCACACAACGAAGTTTATCTACTTTAGGAGCCATTATTATGGACTTGTACAGTTGTAAATGGAAAGAGTAGGACACAAAATATTGTTCTATTCATACTGTGCTTGATATAATACATTCACGGAAATGTAATATTTTTGCTAAAATGACGTACGTATTACAGTGGAAAGTGGGATCAAATCGTGACGAAAACAATGACTTGCGCTTTCTTTCGGTCAAAAGATGTTACCGTAATCACTTTTCGAATGGTTTAGTTAAAAAACTATTGTATTACAATAATATCCTAATTGACTTGAATAAATATTACGATACCATATTTCTGAATATTTTCATTAAAACCATCAAAATCTCATTTTCCCTTGTCACTGCCTGGCACCAAAACAGCCTCCCAGTCCCTCTCCTTAAACAGGGTTAGAGAGGGCACGGTTTTTCGAATCGTTTCTAGTTAAAAACCAATATTACATCACACGAGTTTTACCTAAACTGCGCCTGAATGAATATATTCTCGGAAATAAATAGTAGTTTTGCTGAAACGTGATGTATTTCAATGTAAAATAGGATAAAATACATGACGAAAACAAAAGACTTTACCTAAGCTTCCGATGTTCTTGAGATGTTACTCGTTTTTTTAATAGTTTTCGGTTAAAATTCTGTTGTATTACAATGATATTTTATTCATACTGTGCTTGATATAATACATTCACGGAAATGTAATATTTTTGCTGAAATTACGTACATATACAGTGGAAAGTGGGCTAAAATCGTGACGAAAACAATGACTTTCGCTTTCTTTCGTTCAAAAGATGTTACCGTAATCGCTTCTCGAATGGTTTAGTTAAACAACTGTTGTATTACAATAATATTCCCTCCTAATTGACTTGAATAAATACTTGAATGGAAATCTACAATATTTTTGTTGAAACTACACGCGTTTCAGTGTAAAGTGTCGTAATAATAAATGGTAAACAATTTGCCTTCGGCACTCGTGTTTCAGTTTATAGGACGTAGAGCGTTTTTACTGAAGGTTTTGTTGTTCCCTTACCCTCAAAAATGTGGGTCGAACTATAAACGAGGAATATCATAAATTAACGATTTCTTGGTCAAAAAATCAGGGTCGACCGATAAACGAGGGGGGGTTATAGATGAGTACTGTATATACAGTATGTTGTCACAGTTTGATTGCTCGTTTTAAAGTGGCGACCACGTGGTCACTTGTTGTCGCTGTGCAGCTGTGGCGCTCACGCATGCGCACATACACACAAAAGCCCGCTAAAAAAAAATATATATATAATAATAATCATAGTAATTAGTTTTCCAAAAGTCCGGATTCTCGGGTGGTCCGTATTTCTGGCATCCGGATTTTTGGACTTTTACCGTACTTAGTCTATTGATTGTGGTACTAGACATTTTTACTGCCAAGATGAACTCTAAGCAAAAGATCCTACCCAATTCTAGATAATTTAAATATTACGGTTACCTTTTTCATCTAGTTTCAAACACAATTTTCTTGGATATGAAAGCGACCATTGTTTCAATGCTGTAAGAGTAACCAGAGATGAATTCAAACACCAAGTTAAAGAAACCAGGAAGATAAAATAAAATTTATTTTTCAAGCCAGCCAATATTAAGTAGTAAAACTTAAGTAATACCACTAGTGTCTACACAAAAATGGAATGTAAAACAAAATCAATTTTGATGAAAACACCCATGAAAAAGAAAGCACCCATCAGTGAAAGACTAGAATTCTGCCTGCAAGAGTATAGAGTGGCCTGGACTGAGCAAGGCTCTTCTTACAACTGCAGCACAACCATGTGATGGGCACTCCCATTTATCTTGCAGGGCAATGTGAACACTAATTCCTACCACAGCTGGACATGAATGTTCATTAATCTATTGGTAAGTTTTTAACTTTCCTTAAGTCTATTAAAAAAAAAATTATAGCCCAAAAACTTTGGCTTTTGTTCCATGCTAAAGGTAACTTCATCAATTTAAATTTATTATTTATTCTAATCTTGCTTTCCCGATTTATTAAAACTAAAATGTTAGCTGGATCTTGTCAAAACTACTGTATATGCACACACTCAGTCACACGCACATGCATGCACTTACACACACACACAAAACTTCGCTATTTAAAAAAGTTAACTGAATAATTGATCATGAAGATAAGGTAACAATCACTGGTAATCATGCAGGAAGCATATTGGTGGCCAAAGCCCTGTTACATGCCACTGATCCTTTCACAATGATGTGTGAGAGGCCTTCTTTAATGCGTAGAAAATGACGCTTGAAATCTAAACCACATCCTTTAGACAAGCGAAAGTCAACAAGGATATGCTGTCCCATATCTAGTACACTGGCCTTCAGGACTAGCTGGGCTCCACGACGGTCTAATGTTGTAACAGTCAACTGCAAGGGGGAAAATAAATTCTTTTATTCCAATTCAATGAAATCATTACATGGCATTTCATTCTCTCAACTTCCAAAATTAAAGGCTTATAGTGCATGTGCACTGATTAATGTTATGCTTCTTTGCTTTCAATTATGGAAAATACTCAATTAAAAAATTTTGTAAACAAGATATCCATACAAATGCCAGATTCAAACTACGAGTACAAGGTAAAGTAAACTAAGAAATTATATGGAGAAAATATTGAATATTGATTTAACCATAGATACAGGGAGTGACGAGATGCACCAGACAATCATGCTAACAGTATATAACCTATAAAAAGGACTATATGAGGCATCTTTACACAATGAAAGTCAAGACAAATTAAAGCACATTCAATGAATAAGCTGAAGACTTCATTAAACTCACAACGTTAGCAGTAAGACAGCGGTAGGTATAATTCATTTTGTTGAAGAGCGCCTCCAGATGAGTTATGGTGTCTTCAAGAGTAGTTCTCACCAGTATTCTGGTCATTCGTTTAACCAAGCGTTGTAGTGGAGTTTGACTGGCCTGTGTTCCTTGGGTTAATTGTGATAGCAGCAATTGGTCAGGCTGTGCAGGCTGAGAAAAGCTTACTACTCCCAAATCCATATTTGCTCCAACCTGCAAAGGTTAAAAATTAAATTAAATTCATAGCATCTCCTAGACCTACAGTTGGATTTTAGTTTATTTCCCTGAATAGTGGAATAAAATTCTTGTTCTGAATATGCACATTATCAAAATCTAATGAAAAGTTATGGCTTTACAATAATACTATGGACAATCAACTAAAATGAATTATTACTAACTGGATCTTAACTGTGGTTGCTATTATGCAAAGAGATGGATGGTCAAACTCAACTAACCAAGACACTCAAGAGTTTAAGCAGTAACAAAATGAACCCTCCACATTTTCTAAATATAATGTAATATATTTACAAATTAATTTGTCAGCAGGTATGTGCATGGTTTATATAACTCTCCAGTTGATTAAAAAGTCACAAACTAATATGACACCAGTTGTACTATAACTATATAATCTATTTCATCTGTTTCTTGGTGGTGGTGCTGTGACTGACAGCTGCATGACGTTTTCAACATTTCATTGTTCGTTATGTTATTTGACTAATTTCAGCATCATTTTACAGCCATTCTCCACACTTGTGTGAGCTAGTCATTGTTACCTGGTGGCAGTTCTCCTTGCTACACAGACTCTTGCAGTCTCTCCTGTCAGGTTTCTAACTCTAATGTCATTTCTTACACCTCTCCCCAATGTCACGTCTTGGCCTACACCTAGCTCGCCTCCCCTCCACATTTAGACTCCTGCATCTCTTGGTCCAATTGGTCTTCATTCTCTCCACATGCCAAAACCATCCTAACCTGTCACTACACAGGATTTCTCCAGTGCTGTCAATACCCAATTAAACTCTTAGTGCTGAACAGGGTGAGCCTCTTGTCTTTCAGTATCACAATGTACATCCACCACACCACTCTCATTCCAACTCACTCAAGTCGACTTATGTCCACCTCTAACTGCCCATGTTTTGCTGCCACACTTCCTTTCATTCAGGGTAAGGTCCTCTTGCTGTCAATAAAGGCAGAAGCTCCCTAAATTTCCTATAGACACAGCTATAATAACTTTTTACATCTTAACATTATCAATGGAAGTGAAGTCGGGGATTATTGGGTCTTGTGTTACTGACCTGATGCAATGTCAGGTCACCCATTATATAATCTCTTCTCTCATTTGCTGTGGAAGTAGGGTGGGGGATTAGAGGTCTCATATTACTGACCTTCTGATGCAATGTCAGGTCACCCAATATTAGGGTGGAGCATCGGTGGTCTCATGACCTGAAGATGTCTTGAATAAATACAAAAGCTAAGGTGCTCCAGTGTTTCCCACTTACTAAATGTACAGCACAGTAATATGTAATTATAATAACTTTTTATGTCTTAACACTGCTTTAACACTATTGTCAGCCAATTGTGTCCTGGTACAGTAATACACAACACAAATTGTAGGCAAAAACAGCAGCTAGCATAGGAACAACCTACTACAACAGCAGCAGAATTTGAACTAAGCAATCCATGCAGCTAAGCCACCCTCACGCATGGCATGTGGACACACATTGGAGCATGATGCAATCTTTCAGTACTCCTGCAATATTTATTCCCAGGCCTAGAAAAGAGAGGGTTGGAGATATTTTCTCAGAAAATGCGCCTGCTTTCATCCTCACTCATTCGCAGACCTGGAATGGACGGAGTTATCCCAGATTTTTTCCAAGCAGATTTCAATTCCAACTATTGGAGAGTTCCAGGGATTGGGGATTCTGGCTAATAGGGAGATTACTGCCATATGGCATCACAAAAATTGTGACCAAGTACCAGGTTGCTGATCTGACTTTCTGCCTCATTTACACACAATTACAGGGTCTCACTTGTTTCTCTTACTATTGACAACACAACATACATATATTGTTTCTCACTTGATTTTTTTTTTGGGGGGATGTCTATTATTATCATCATTATTAATATTATAATTATTATTATTATTATTTTTTATTACAATAGAAAGTTGATTTAGAGCGATTCAATTGAAGATTATGGATTTAAAGCGACACCCACAATTAAGTATAATGTTTTAATTTAAAGCGAATCTTTCCTATTTTGCGCGAGCCTGATGTTTCTCTGGGCACGCTACACTGTCCTAAGGGCAAAGCTGTATTGTACATGTACTCAAATAATGTACTTAATGATTACCAAAATTTTTGTCAAGTGCAAACTATAGCATGATTATATTCAAATTAATCACTATCTTATAAGAATACCAGCAATGTAAATTATATTCTCCCCGGTCACTTCTGTGACATTTTATAAGGAAAAAAAAAAACTCAATCTAAAGGACATAAATAAACACTTCACTAGACCTTCGGCGCCAACTGTCAAACATGTCACTGTCACGTCACTTCCCTCTCCAGCCAGGGTTTGGTGGTTATAGGCTTTAAATTCTTATCTTATATAATATCACAGACTAAGGTTAGAATATAATTTGCATTGCTAGAATCCTTGCAATTAATTTGAATATAAACTTCATATATTTTGCACGAGATAATTTTTTTTAGCCCTTTGTAATAAAATTAATTAGAACTAAAATTTGTATGTCTAATGCGAACTATAGCGATTACATTCAAACTAATCACTATCTTATAAGAATTCCAGCAATGTTAATTATATCCTCCCATGTCAGTTCCGTGACATCTTATAAGAGAAAAACTTAAAGTCACTCTTAAGGACAGATAAATAAGCATTAGACCTTTGGCATAAACTGTCAAAAATAACACCTCACCTCACCCTCCCTCCCCATCAGCAGATTGCCAGTAAACAGAAAATTTCACATCCAATAATTTCAGCCTTCAACATAATACTACAAAAAACAATGTTTTGTTTATTCTAGATGGGCTGAGGTGCATCTGGGTAGACTCTCAGCCTTTTTAGTATTTTGTGTTTCTCTGAAGTACCAATCTAAATTATTCCACTGAAACAACACTTCGATTTAGTGCGAACTCGGTTTAAAGCGACTTATCTTGGAATGTTCTACTGTATAAATTTCATTTATTATGAATTATTATTACATTATAACTACAGTATTACATTTTCGCCCCCCAGGCCTCGATGTGGGTCAGTAACCTGTGCCCCAGGTGGGATAATCCCCGTAAAAAAATAAATAAATAAATAAATAAATAAAATACTGTACCAGTAATCTGAGGGGAGTGAAAAAAATTAAAATAAAAAATACTGCCTTGTCATCTGGCAATCTTGTCACTACACAAGGGGCACGGGACAGCGTTCCGAGATCCCCCATGCCTTCAGATCTGAGGACGGTATTCTGATTGAAATGTCAGATGAAATTGTCAATCTGGTGTGCAACTAGCTGAATATAAATCCCTCACATTGTCTTCTGATTATACCCTTAATGGTTGTTTAATGCAATTAACTTACAACAACAGTATCTATAGTAGCAGGGGTTGTCGCCTCAGGCTGTGAACATGCCAAACGCAAGGAGATGTCATCAAAAGCTGTATTGGTCCGTTCTAACTCGCTGCACACTCTTTTGCTAGATGGAGTAGTGTTTTCATTTTGCACTGAACCTGCAAATAAAATATAATCTGGATTATAGGCATCAAGAAATCTAATTTCAAAATAAAGAAAAAAAAGGGGGGGGGAGGGTGTTTACCCAACAAAGTATATCACTTACAACTGCAACTGAATTATGTGATGATTGATGATTACAAGAGCAGCAATGCCCCATGGTGTTCCAGCTATATGACATTAAATCCCTCATACAGCTAGATCACCAAAGATATTGCCATTCTCTTCACTTGGAGTTCCAATAGTTTCAAGCCTTCACTTACAAATCAAATTCATTCTTGATTAGCACAGCTCCCATAGGAAACTTTCATATCTTCCATCCAAACCCTGCACGGATTAAACATGTCTGTTGGTGCAAGATCCATCTGCTGAATTAAATGCTTGCTTGTAGCTGACTTAGCCCACATCCATGCTTTGGTAATCTAGCTTTATGGACTCATAACCCCCATCATAATGCTAAACCACCAAAGCAGAGCCATAGGCTTTACTAAGTAGGAAAGGGAATCCATCCCCAAAAAGTGTGCAGTTCTCCATTCCATCTATTATTCAATCTGCAGCATTTTGGAAGTGATATAAATCTAAGCAACTAAAGGTTTGTTATTAGGTAAACATGCATGTCCCTTCCGTGTGCTAAATATGGTTCCCAATGCCTAATAATTAACACGAGAGAATTATAAGCCAATAATTAACACAGATGGAAAGGTTATTTTAAGCCGAATAATTAACATATACAGGGAAAGATTATAAGCCAATAATTAAGTTAACAAATTAAAACATGCAGAACAGTAATAATTTTATACCTTTATGAGAAATGAAATGAGATTTAAAAAGGTGAAGAAAAAGAAACCTAGCCAATATCCAAGTAAATCATATCAGCCTAATACACCGATTCCCAGTAATGTACAAGTATACAGTATAAAGAGAGAAATTCTCTAGGAGGAGGCTGCTGCATCTAGACAATGAGGGGTGTGGCTGTCACCCCAACTCCTTAACCTTGAGTGTGTTAAGTGATGACTATTACCTGGACAGTAGAAAGTCATTTAATGTATACTGTCCCATACATCAAATCAATCGGCATGTATGTTTATTGCTAAAGAAACAGGAACCTGTTCATTTGTATATTCAACTACATGAAGGTTGCCGGAGACCTCCACAGGCCACCAGAATGCGGGTTCCTCCTGTTTTCTTTAACTATACACTCTCGTCTTAAGAAAAAACAAATAAAACTGTGCCTGTCACAGCTCCACAGGAAGGTTCATTAATATATGATGAGGTAGAAAGTTGAAATAAATCACTTTCCTGTATTCCTGTCCGAACATTCAATATTACACCTGTAAAACTTAGAATTAACACTTAATCCTTTTCTACCAATGATGCACATCTGCTGTCGGATAATGTGAGGGAGATCACAGACACTGTGAAACTCTGCACTTAATAATTTGCAGAGTCACATAGTACCTGAAAGCTCCTCCCACTCGTTCAGCTCCCCTTTCCTGCCAAAATACACATGACATGAAACAATGGTGAAATATTGCAAATGTGTGTGTGCGCACGCATAATGTGGCGACCTGTGATGTAATGGTCAGCATGCTCGCCCCACAAGCAAGCGGACCCGGGTTTGATACCCGGGCAGGAAACTATGAGCAAGTTTCTTTACTCCGTTTGCCTCTGTCTACCCAGCAGTAATTGAGAACCTGAATGTTAATCAACTTGCAGATTGTGTTCCAGGGTAATGGTTAGCCACTGCAGTTGGCGAGTTGTCCAGTCTTCTCAGACTATTCCTTGTCACTGGGTCATGCAACTCGCCAACTTAGGGTGTTGTTGTTGTGTTGGTGATAGCTTCTACACCTTAAGCAAATTCACGTCTAGGCGGCCCTTGGGCCAGCCATCCTCGTTACACGAGGGGCAACCATTATTATTATTGTTGTTGTTATGCATAATGTGTGTGGAAAAAAGCGACCATTTATCTCGCATCCCGGTATATGGAACTCCAAAAAACGGCTATGTTCTCCAATGATTTACAGACATTTAATATGAACGCAAAATAGTTTCTAGCCTGAGTGGGGAAATTTCCAACCATTACCCACCCGTGAGTTATGTTAGTTATTTTTCAACTGTAATTTTGTATAGATATACATAATTATCTTTTTTTTTATTCAATTGCACACACACACACTCCCATGTATGTACTTTGTTGGATGTCTTGCCTTTTATATAGGGATGCAATAGCTACTAGTACATCCCTTGACAAAACATTGTAATCACTCATTATTCTGCAAGACAACAGAATGCTTGCACAAGTGCTTAAAAGCCTGGGTCACAGGTGGGGAGGTCAGCAACAGGGGTGCTCACTGTAGAAAGCCGCGTAGACTACTAACCTACATTTTCTCGCCTATCCCTGCCTCCCTGATCCCAAATGCAGTCGCCAGAAGAAATAAAAAAAGAAAAGAAAAAATTTGAAGGCAACTAGACTAAACATATTGGGTCAATTACAACTACAAACACTGTATGTATGTATGTATGTGTATACATACATACACACACACACAAAAGGCTCTACATCATAACAGTTGAAAAACACTACAACACAACATAAGTATAATTCTAGTGCACATTAGGGATTGGTGAATAAGGAAGGTTGAGATTAGTGGAAACAATGATGTATAAAGTTGGTGCAGGCAAATTAGAAATTTATAACAAATGTATATATAAGTTGTTCACTCCATATCAGTGACATTTTCATCCTAACACACCGAGTATGTAATGCTAAGTCAGTACTGTACCCATTTAAGCTCATACACAATCACACAATTCATTCTGACCGTACAACCAATAAATGTACTTGGAAGAAAACTACTAGCCATATGTAGTGGAAACTGAAAGATTATGAAATATACAAAAATATTTAGCACCAGATAACTACTGTACATGTTTACACTTCTTTTACAGCCATAACAGACTAGTTATCAAGACATGCCTTACCTGTAATCTTGTGGAAATTTTTGGTAAACCACTGATGAACCTTCACCTGACTTATGGTTGCTCTGTGTCTTGGTACAGTGTTAAGTACCTGTAAAAAAAAAAAATATATATATAATAATAATAATATACAGTACATACAAACCATACAGTAAATTCTCACCAACTCAGACTAATTAGGGAAATGGGCAGTCCAAGAAGGCCAGAATCCGATCTCCAAGATCCAAAGGCAATAAAGTCTGAGATGGAAGGGAAAGTCCGTGTTAAGTACCTTGAAAGATATCAATATAGAGAACAATACCTGTACATAGAAACAAGCTAACTAGCCAAATTTGTTGACAATATTCAGCAGCTGATTATGTGAACACAACAGCCATATCACATGTTCTGTCTCGGTTACATTACGGAAGGACAACAATACAATGTGTAAAGTAAACATATAATTTGTTAAAATGTGTTTTGAAATGATTGAATTAGTGCTGAAGCGAATAAGGTAATGTCTAAAGAATTTATTATTTTATTCTATTCCTCATTGGTCGTCTGTCTAACACAGTATACCTATGTTACTGGAGTATATGCTCATCGCCTTTGCCGTAAAGACAATAAAAATTACTAACATTTAATTTCGTGAGAAAAGCATTAACTATATTTAATATTGTATGTTTCAGTAAATAAGATTTAAAAATGTTAATAAATATAAAATGCAGACAGCTGATATGCCGATGAAAACCATGTTCCCCGCCCTCAATAAATGTCAATAGAGCAGTTGCGTTGTTTATTGATCAGGTGGATACTGTTGCCATGTGTGTTGTGACTCGGTTACTCTAAAGATATTATAAATTGCAATACATTGTGTACTATATAATAAACATATTACTGATAATGAATTATGTAATTATAAAATAAGTAAAGCATATCGAAAATTATTTATGAAAAAATAAATAAAACAAAAGTTATGATACACAATTACAATGAGACTTACATGACTGACGCCCGGTGGTGTGGTGATAAAACTAATTCCAATAAAATTAATTTACAATATCGGAAATAGTTAATTTTACTGCCACTCCACCCCGTCACATACTGTACTGCGGTGACCTTCATGACTCAATTTTTTTTAAACTCAGGTTAAAACACAACGACCCTCTTCAACGGAAGAGGGTGTTTAAAACTCCAGGTGCTAGACTACATATCCAGATCCACATCATCTTCACTGAACATTCAAATCATTTTTACTATACATCCACATCATAAATCCTCACTGCACAATCACCCATGCCATATATGTACAGGTGGCCCCACTCCTAAGTTAACCACTCAGCGTTGCCAATCCTCTCTCTCCGAGGTGTGAACCCTGAAGTGTAAAACTGAAGTACAGTACAGTATTCAATAGTGAGCAGGAGGGAGAGGGGAGGGCTGTGTTGGGGTAGGTGTCCTTCTGTGTTTTGGGGGAGGGTTGGGGGTACTAGGGGTAAGGAGGGAGAGCACATACTGTACGAGTTCGGAGATATTACAATGCAAAATAACACTTACACTCTTACACACACTCACATCTATCAAATTTGACCAAAAAATGATTGAGACCCCACTTCAATATAACAGAAAGGGTCACATGATCATTAAAGCGTAAACTACTTTCCAATACTCTACTCTATCCTGGATGACCTTCCCTCTAACCAACCAGCGATGTCTTGACAGGCTGGACAATCAAGCTCGCCAGTTGATCAATAACTGACAAGAGTACTTCCAGCTAAAATACCATTAACATGAAAGCAGCAGCTTAACTGTGTTCTATCAAGTATTCTTTCAGGACAATCGATGATTGTCACCACACCAGCTAAAATGGGCAAGAACACCCTGAAGGTACCTCAAACTTCCATCTGTTACAACTCATTTCTTACACACCTCCCTCAACTATGGAAAAAGCTTGTTGAGTGATACTGTATATACTCGTCTATAACCCTCCCTCGTTTATAGGTCGACCCTGATTTTTTGACCAAGAAATCGTTAATTTATGATATTCCTCGTTTATAGGTCGACCCAAGTTTTTGAGGGTAATGGAACAACAAAACCTTCAGTAAAAACACTCTACGTCCTATAAACTGAGGCTCGCCGTGCCTGAAACACTGAGTGCCGAAGGCAAATTGTTTACCATTTATTATTACGCCACTTTACACTGAAAAGCGGGTAGTTTCAACAAAAATATTGTAGATTTCCATTCAAGTATTTATTCAAGTCAATTAGGAGGGAATATTATTGTAATACAACAGTTTTTAACTGAAAACCATTCGAAAAGTGATTACGGTAACATCTTTTGAACGAAAGAAAGCGAGTCATTGTTTTCATCACGATTTTATCCCAATTTCCACTGTAATACGTACGTCATTTCAGCAAAAATATTACATTTCCGTGAATGTATTATATCAAGCACAGTATGAATAGAATATCATTGTAATATAACAGTATTTTAACCGAAAACTATTAATAAAACGAGTAACATCTCTTGAACATCGGAAGGTTAGGTAAAGTCTTTTGTTTTCGTCATGTATTTTATCCTATTTTACATTAAAATACATCACGTTTCAGCAAAACTACTATTTATTTCCTAGAATATATTCATTCAGGCACAGTTAAGGTAAAATATACGTGTGATGTAACAGTTTTTTAACTGAAAACGATTTGAAAAACACATGTACCGTCTAGCTGATACGCAACAGCTGGTGGCGCGTCATGCATCGTTGTAAACAATAGGAGGTTGAAGTGGATTACCGGGTATTATATAAAGTGTGAAACATCGAAAAGGTTTTTATTACCGGTATTTTTTGTAGAACAATGAGTACTGTGATACCGTATATATGATAAATTAGCCTGTGCTAAGAACTTCAACATAGACTACTGAAAGCACGTTGTAAGGCAATTTAGCCTGAAGGAACTGCACAACTTTTCATTACTAATTGGTACATATTTTACTTTTTCATTGTTTACTGGCAGTAAATGGTAAATATTTTTCATGTCTGAAGCTAAAAGTTGCTCCTCGCCCTTCCCATCATGCACGGGTTCAACCTAACAAAACTATTACCTATGTAGAGGTCAACCCCCAATTTTTTGCCTAAAAATTTGGTCTTAAAAACTCGAGCTACACACGAGTATATACGGTACCCCAAATTTCATTTTATAATAGTCCAGTTGTAATAAATAAATTGCTGCTTTAATATATTCAGGGGTTGAGTGCAAACTCCTAACCCATTCTTTAACCTTAAAAACTACCATATAGAAATATTAGTCTCTTCACTACAGGGATGGCACTTATATTTTTCTTGGCTACTGCCAGACCACTTTATTCAGCACAAGAGACTAATGAACTGCTAATGCATCCAGAAAACAGAAGCAAAAAAAAATAAAATCATACCTTTCTCAAAAGAGAGAGTGCTAAATTATCAATCTTGGTCCAGGGAGTGGTAGTGAACAAGTGACAATCCTTGTCTTTCCAAGCTGTGTATTCAGGACAAGAGAAAGTTGGTTCATCCCAGGGCAATTCTGAAAATGTAGCAGTTCCTTGAAAATATTATCTCGCACAACCATGAAACGGGCCATGGATACCTCTCCAGCTAAGCATTCATGACAAGCATAAGTACTTGCAGAAGTACTTAAAAATATATAGGCCTACTGCTTCCAAAAATAAATGACAATAGTAAAAACAACAATATTTGACACAGCATGTAATTCAAATGAAAGAGTAAGAATGAACCAGGAAAGACAAAGGTATAAAGAAAGAATGAGCATGAACAAACAAGCCAGTGACCATTACTTCATGGGAAATAAACAAAACACGTACAGTCAGTGACAAAAGTTCGCTCCCCGTGGTGAAACCTAGTCATGGTAACGAGTCTCCGAACTGATTTATCCTCGGTTTCATCTCATTTGAGGTCAATGCCGATTCATTTTGAGCGGGAGCAAACTTTTGACCCAGACAGTATAGCCCCTAGTTGCTAGAATGGCAGTTACACAAATTATTTGTACACCCCCCTCCCCCCCAAAAAAGCTCTTAACCAGTAGATTAGAACATATAAGTTAATCATGATGCTGTATTTCGAATGGTTTTGGGTTATGCTGCAGAAACAAAAGTAAGGACAGCTATTTTCTAAATCCCCTACCACCTTCCTGTACTAAACTAAGAGGGCATCACACACAGCTGCATGCTCTCCGATATATTCCGATTTCTCGGGAATTAACGCAGCCAGCTTTTTGCCCCTTACAAGCAAGTGCGTGAAGGTGCACCCAACAATTCTGTGAAGTTTTACTTCAACAATAAGTCCCTGAATGTTAATATCTATAAAATTAGCTGTACCTTGTTTGCCTTTTTGTTTGCATTGGTTGTTCAGAGCTAATCATTTACCAATCTTTTTTTTTCTATTTCTCTACATGCTAAGCTTCTGGATGACCTGCAGAGAAAACTCGACCATGGGTAAATTAACACTGTCGTCCAGCCTCTCAACGTATGCCATACCTCCCCACCAAAATAATGGATGACAACCTGGCAATGCAGTCACTAAAAAGAAGACCTCACCACCGTTGATTACCATTAACTGCATGCACTTGTAAATAATTTGCCATGGTCGATGCAGCTGCAGGTTATGATCTACTTAAAGTGGATTGACGGCATTAGTGGCCACCCCTTGGCTCAATACTACTGTGTGTGATTTATCCACTAAAAATTCCACCGCAGATGACTGTTGCAACTGTGTTGACAGTTTTAAGTTCTCGGGGACAGGACTTCCAGTGTACACAGGTCAGGAAATTAAGGCAACTGCAGGAGATTGATCAAGAGGTCATGTATGAACCTGGCCCTACAGCCAATGTGGTTCTGGAACTAGCCTCTCATGACATTAAAAACAGCCTCAAGAGGTCCTTGACAGAGGACAGTTGCTCCACATGCCCAGCCAGCTGCCTCCAGACAAAGTTTTCACTTGGGTGGACAAAAGAATACCCAATAGGAGCATCAGTGTCCCAGGGATCAGTTATTGGCCTAGTCCGTTAGAATACTGTACTTAGATAAATGAATTGCACCAACAACCACAGCTGTCAGCTTACGCTGATGACTGGACCCTCCCTCACTCTTACAATCGTGAGGACAGTCAACAAGAGGCCAGACACCTAACAACCAAGTCAAGATTATACAAGAATGGGGTCTCTGCTGGCAAGTAAACTGTGCTCCAGATAGAGCACAAGTGATGGTAATACTGTATTTTGCTCCCCTGCTGCAACAGCAGCAATGTAGAACAGAGTTCACCTCTGCGGGGTAACCGTCCCACGCCTCGACTACATCTCAATCCTGGGTGTAGACATTCACATGGAGTACGATTTAATAGACACCAACACTTAACCAAATAGCTTTATTCAGCGCCATAGTCTTGCCAACTAGGGGTCATGAGGCTGTACAACGCACAAGTTCAGTTGTATCTCAAATATGCAGCTCTGACCTGTCAAAAGCTGGACAAAGTTTAAAGATGAGCTCAGTGGCTGGTTGGTAGTGCCTTAAACCCCTCACACCTGAACCACCTGAAGTACCATGACATAGCAGCCTTGACTGTCTTCCACAAAACCCAGGTCCAGCAGGTGCCTCACCTGGCCAACCTACACCTCCCACCACTGATTATACAGTGGAACATGAGGATGATTCAGGCCGACTGCTGATGGAGGTCCCTCAGTCAGCTGCCAGCCAGCACCAGAGGACTTCATCGCCAGAGCAGCCAAGTTATGAAACCTCTTCACCAGCACCACAAATATCAGGCAGATGAACACACATGAAGTGAAGACAGCTCCTCAATGCTGAAGGCAATTTAACTCCTTTCAATCTGTTATACTCATGGATGTAAAACTAATATAATGATGTTCATCTTAATGTGGAGGTTAGATTTTGAAATAGGTTTCTTTTCACAAAGTGACCTTTAACCTGCTAAGCTGAAAACACAGAACTGCATTCTTATTTGTCTCTTACCATTTTGTAAATCAACAATGTAAACAATACATAAAAAAAAGTACATGTATTATCAACCTTCATAAAAAGTGAGGCTTACTTAACTTTAATAGATTCTAAAGATGTTTTATCATCAACTCCCTCTATGTCCCCATTAACTGCCTGACACAATTACAATTACATTGTGTTTTTCAGTCATGGATTTTATCTATGGAAGTTTAGTGAAGAGCAGCAATACTGTACACTACTCTCCAAAACTACTTCCAAACACATTCTATCATATTAAACATTGGGTTCTCTGATTTTCATTTTGTAGTAGCTATCAGAAACCTTGTTGACTCACTGCAAGTCTGGACCAGTTCAAATCCTTCCTCAAACAAAATCTCAATTTGCCTGATAAAAAGAATAACATTTCATAAACAAATTCATCACCTAAATCCTAGGGGTAATGAAGTCCACGGTCTATTTGTTCAATGGTTAACAATACACACGCTAAGGACCTCTTATCTCCAGCATCTTCACAACCTCTTTAGGCCCTCAACTTTGTTAACCCACTTGTTTACTGCATACTCAAATTGAAGCATCTGCATACTAAGACTCTTTATGTGTTCAATAGCTAACTTATGATACACTTAAATAATTTAACATACTAGTTTGAAATGTTGGATTGGGTGCAACTTATGTCTGTACCATCAATCCAGATGATAATAAACTAAATATAAATGGAGAGGGGGATGCTGTGCTCAACTTTTAGATTGTCAAAATAGAACAAATTACTCAAATATGAAGAAATGATGATCATCACTTTTCATGGCTCATGAATATTTTGAAAGTTTTCTTCTTTGCTCGGCTTCTAGGTTTGCATTAGATCATTTAGCAATTTTGTGCAATCACCATGGAAATTCTACCATGAATAAATGCACTACAATTTGACTAATGTTCTAACAAGCAACTCATGGCAAAACAATGTTTCAATCAATCAACTTGTCAGTTTACAAAAAATAAATATTTTATTGGAATTATACTCTGTAGAAAAGGAAAACTTATGCGAGAGGGCCACAGCATGATATAGTTCAATAAAACCTAACCTCAAGCAGTACCAAGAACAAGGTAGATGTATATAAGGACTTAAGCTATGATAGTGGAATTTTAAACATTTTTCTGTAAATACAGTACAGTATGCACATAGCATGTGTTCCAACTCATGTTCAAATCCGACTTCAGAATGTCCTCAGGTTTTAATAACTAAAATACTTATCCTGAAATCCGTTCAATGGTTCGAATTTCCAGGGCTTCAATTTCAACAATGAAAAATAATTATTTAAAAATACAAATATTTTCTTTAAATATGTTAAATAATAATGGGACTTTTCTTTACAACATTTTTGTAAATTGTTATAATTGGGGGAGGAGTTTTATTTATGGCCACGTGCTGTGGCCAACATATAAACTGGCTATTATGGAATCACCACTTCATTTATCTCTACATATTTTGCTTTAAAAAAAAATAAAAACCCATCGAAGAGAAAAATCCTGTGTGAATATATATATATATCGAGATATGAATGGGTTAGGTTCCAAATATAAACATTCTTCAGGTGAATTTTCCTGTTGAACAGAAAAACACTGGAAAACTAGGGTTCGGTTCCCCAATGACAAAATATCCCAATATCAACCCCCAAAACATGAAATCAGTTCACAAACAATAAAAACCTACCTAACTAATGATAAATAGTACACAACTACTGTAAGTTACTACCTAACTCATTAAAAACTTGATTAAAATACTATCAACATGAAAATATTTGGCTAAAACTATTAAGGAAAGGCTAAATCAAAGATTAACACAGCTGCCTGCAGTGCCATTTGCATAGATGCTGGCTACTTCACACATGGCTGCGCTGTAATGTCACCACAACCAGGATAAGCAGTTGAATGTGTGTCATTGCCCAGAAGATGGTTTGAGTGTGGAAGAAGCTATTCTTTGTACATAAAATAATATAAGCTGTACCAGTAAATGAGGAATAAATAAAAATATTAAATAAAAGAAAAATGCAGTACTGTACTGCATTGCAATTTGGAATCTGATCACCAGCATCCGAGACCGCAGAGCCACAAGAGAACACCAGTCCCACTCTCTTGTACTAGCTCCCACACATGCAAAAAATTCTAATCCCTTATGCTTTTGACCTTATGATAGATACCCTATTTTATTTTCACATTGTGTATGAACAGTTGAGTGCACGTAAAGAAAAATATTATCCACCAATGTTTAAGGATGACGACCATCTTTCTTGGTTTGACTTGCACTATCTATACAAAATTATCTCACCTTGACATTTAAATCTATCTCTATCTTCAAAAATGGCTGCAGGTTGCACCTTTAATAAATGGTTTTAGTCCATCTTACCTTACTCACACATCCAGAAAGGAGAATACTGTACCACAAGTATCGAAGAGTTGAGTTTCAGCCCTGACTTTGGTAATCTAGCTTTATGACGTCCTTCATCTCTCACACAGCTAGATCACCAAAGACGAGGCAGAAACGGCATCCATGACTTCGTTTCATTCCCATGAGGAACTTTCCTCTTTAGGGTGGCCCTGACCAGTCTCAACGTCCTGTACTACACATCATCTCCACTCCCATTACCCCTTCCCCATCTCTCTCAATGGATTCCTCCATTTCCTTCCACGGCTCTCTTATTTAACCCATCTAGGGGGTCCCCAAAACTTTCTGAAGTCGGATTTGTACGCAAGTTAGAACACATGCTATGTGCATACTGTACTTACAGAACAATGTTTAAAATCCCACTATATCATAGCCTAAGTCCTTACATACATCTAAAATCACTTAATTTAAGACAAAAAATAGAATGGCAAAATACAATAAATGAAAGTAAAAGTAAGTCACCAGGCAAATAAAATACTATAAATTTCAAGTTTAACCCTGCTGGTATCGGCGGGTGTTCGTAAGTCAGGGACCCCCCCCCCCCCTGTAGTACATTACCTTATGAACCCCTCCTTGGATTGCCAAGCTTCCCATTTTTCAGATACAATGGAATGTAAAGGCATGTTTGCAGTGTCAAATTCATTCAGCTTTTCTACTTTAAGTACTGCATCTAAATTAACTAAATTTTCATTATTTATCAGTGAAAGCATGTACACATTTGCAACCAAAATGGTTTTAAAACTATAATAACTATAATACTTTAATCCTGGAATCCGTTCAATGGTTCAAATCTTCAGGGCTTCAATTTAACAATGAAAATAATTATTTAATTGTACAAATATTTTGATGAAATATACTGTAGACAATAATAACATGTCAAATTTTAATGGGACACCCTTTATTTTTATTTATTTTTTATAAAGAATACTGTACAGATATCTCTTGTTTAACGAATAGGTTTGGTTTCTGGAAAACAATTCCTTACATAAATTTTTGTATCTTGAATAACGGTACAAATGGGAAACATAGGGTTAAGTTCCCAACAACAATCAAGTCCCAATAATGTATTTTACCCCACAAAACATGGAATCAGCCCACACACAACAAAATAAAACACCTAAATAATGAAAAATAGCACCCACTTACTTTAATTTACTACAGGGTACCTAACTCATTAAAAACATTAATAAAATACTATCTAGATGAAAATATGAAGGATTGTGTGCCAAAAATTACAAGTAGAATAAAAATTAAAACGTAGCTTCCCACTCAGCCAGCTAACTCTTGCTGGAGCATGAAGAAATGTTTCCTTTATGTTTTTGACCTTTTAATTACTCCCCTTGCCCATTCGGTATGCAGGGTTGTGTGGATGTGACCCATGTAAAAAAATATGAAAAAAGTTTATCTACTGAAAATTATTCGTTGAATAATAACCATAACATAGCTTACAACTCAGCCTGGTAGCAAAGTGGTTAGGGGATGTGACCACAATGATGAGTAACTTCGTAACAATACCACCAGCCATGTTAAGGGAAGCACTGAAATTAAGCACACCACCACCCTCAAAACAAACATACCGAATGGCAGGAGCAATTACCATAATGGAGGGCAGTCAAGGCTCACCACAAGGGGAAGAGAATAGTGGTACCAAAGACACAGTGGCTAGGGCAAGTGCAGGAGCGGTGTTCTCATCATTGAGTGAGAATACGTCTCTGCCCATCTCTCCAAGATGGCCACCCTAGCTGACTCACGGAGATGCACGATTTGAATCTTTTGCTGGGACCCAAAATTTGTATAAGCAGGGAAGCTCATTAAATGAAGGGTTAATTTAGGAAATTCATAAAAGCAAAATTTTTTTATCTCAAATATTTGTTAAGCAAGGGATACAGTACCTTTCTTTTTATTAAAAAAATTAGGAACAATATACTGTACGTTTCAAAGATTGAAGTTTTAGTGCAAGTGCGAGTAAAATCATTTGCTATCAATGGATATAAATAATTATTAAATGTCATTGTCTTGCAGTTTGAAAGTTTTTGCACTATATCTTCACAAAACCCTGACCAAACAAGATAATTATGTACAGTTCAGCAATATGGTAGAACCTCATTATTTCTACTTGCTATTGCAAACTTCGCACTATTCGAACAAGGTTAGATATCTCTATTTCAAACCACTCATCTATGTTTGAATTATATCATCCTAATTTAAACCTAGCCACACGGTAACATTCTGCCATGGTTACCATGGAATCAATCTTATCTGAACCTTGTGTATAATTATGGACATAAAACAGTTATACCTCTGGCAACAAAATGGATATGTTCACAAAACCCACTTCATCTTCAGAAACTTCACTGCCAGGTCTAGATTTAACATGGAGTAAATGGGAATAGATTCCAGTCCTTCATTATTCTGTATTTTGTGTATGCCAAAAATGAATCAAAACTGCTATACTAAAAAATTATACATAGAACATTATGAAATACAATAATATATATTCTATGTCCAAAAAGTAGCTCCTTCCTCCCTCAAACCATCCTCTGGGCAATGCTGAGTGGCTACACAGAATACTTATTTTATGCTAAACTTCAATTTAACTAGATAATTGGTGGCCAAAAGAAAAAAAGGAAACCGACAGTAAGGATGCATGTGAGGTGCACATTTAAACTGAAATGGGCTTAAGCCAAGTCACCATACATACTATTAAACTGTCCACTGCCTGCCTACATTAACCTTCCACAAAATTCACACCTATGCTCATATATTTTTTTTATAGTTTTACATTACAGCTGCTCCCCAACTTACGACGGGGTTCGGGACCCAAATCCAGTTCGTAAGTCGAAATGGTCGCAACTCGAAAATGCTTAAATAATAAATAGAAAATGTAAAATGGGTGTCTCTTTTTCTTCTCAGCACCACAAAACTCCCACTTTTAAGCTTGCCAGCCATTTTAAAATGAATTACAAACGAAAATTTTGTCAGTCCACTGACATTGGGACTCGAAAATACGTAATTTGACAAAATTTTGGTACTACCGAGGCAGGTTGTAAGTGCGGGTGGTCGTAAGTCGGGGAGGAGCTGTATATTATATTCTCTGTATTTCTAAGTCACTCTAGAGTATTTAATCGATTTTTCCACAACTGTTAGTTCCAGTACATGTAACAATGGCAACATGTATAGCCATCTTATATATGCTTCTGAGGCAGACATTCCACTGAGTGACTACTACTGAGACATACAAACCACAAATACAGAAACCCCTCCCTCCTCTTCCCAGTAAAAAAAATTATTTCAATTATTTTCATTTTTGTCCAAGAGCTATTAACAAAAATGGTATTTAATAAAATATAATACACTGTAATTTCATTAACATCATGAAAAAGCATAAGACAACTTGGCTAAAGGTTGTAGCAACACTGGTCAGATGATACAGTGGTTTAGGGCAACAGAGAGGCAGCGTGGAGATGAAACCCATCTAACTGTACCCCTGACTTTCAAGGAGTTATATCATCACCCTTTTGTTTATTAGATTTTCCATTAACCCCTTGGAGATCAAAATCCTTTGTGGTACACACGTACCACATGTGGGAACGTTCAAATCATACACAGGCAGCTGACCGTGAGTGCATATTATCCCATTATAGTCATAAGTGTTGTAAATAATCTACAGTATATATTTTAATATCAAGAAATAAAGAGGGACCATACAACAGTAAGCATAAGGTAATATAAGATAAATTTAACATAAGCCAAGCGCAGTACAGGTAAAATATGGTACAATCATGGTCAAAAGTTCACTCTTGTCCAAAATGAAGCAGCATCAACCCCAAATGAGATGAAACAGTCAGGGAAAGTCAGTTCGGAGATTCATTACCGTGGCTGTTTCACCACAGGGAGCGAACTTTTGTCTCTGATTATACCTCTAATATGGGGTTTAGGGTCATAACCCCTCAGTGCAAAGAAGTTAAGTGTAATTTTTTAAAACATCTTTTTGGGGAGGGCTGAGGTGTGCTGCTACACTTCCATACACCACAGTACCTTCTATATTGAGACTCATGCCAACTTTACACTGTCCCCATTTTGCAAACTTCATGTTAAAACTAAGTTGGCATGCCACCACCTTCCTCTCTCTAGGGCCAACTGATAACCTATGCCTACTGCTTGCCGAGAACTTTTCTAGTTTCATAAACATATAACCATTACTTCAGTGTATGACAATTATTGTGAAGCTAAAAAGATTACAAAAACCGTGAGGGACCTGGGCAGGTGTCAATGAGCTCTGCCAATGGCAAGTGTGCAGTCTTAGGAAACAGCAAGAAATTAGGGATCAGTTTATAGACAACTTTCAAAGAAACAAAACTGTACAGAATTGTAGGAGCCCATTGATGAAATAT